TCTCTCTCTCTCTCTCTCTCTCTCTCTCTCTCTCTCTCTCTCTCTCTAAATAGAGAATAAGTCAGTACAGACAAGACACGTTTGTGAGATTGTATCTGAATGAGTCGTGCAGCAGTGAGCACAGAGTGAACTGTTTGACCTGCTCACCTTGAACTGTTTGTCCAGGCGCGTCCTCCCAGCGGGCCCCGGGATCAGCAGCTCGTCCACGTACCTGTGCAGCTGAGCCGCCGCCACCTCCGTCTCTCCAGACAAGATGGCCTCCACCAAGGCGTCGTGGATAAAGACGTACTGTTCCTGCAGAGAGGAGATACAGGCAGTGAGGTTAGACTCTAAAGGCTGAGGCCAGTTATAAAGATAAAGTCTTATTCCTGTTTGGATAACTAGCATTGTTTTGCTTACTGGGTTCAAACTACTGTGGAAATGTATAATTGTACAACTGAAGAACTGTATTAATGTGTATGGACAGACAGACAGGTTGACCTCTGACCTCAGTCTGAACCAGGTAGTTCCTCTGTGTGCGGATGTGTTTGAGGAAGCCCGTGATGTTGACGCTGCTCTCGTCTCTCATCTGCTTCAGCATGCTGTCCAGGACCACGTACGTACCCGTGCGGCCCACGCCAGCGCTGCACGGCAACCAGAAGGAGGAACGAGATGAATCAGAGATTTACCGACATCAGGATGAAAAATGAAAACAAAGCTTCGTCTCTCGTCATCGAGTTTAATCAGATCTTACCTGCAGTGCACCACCATGGGCCCCATGTCCTCCGCCCTGGCTTTGGACGACTTGCGGACGAAGCTGAGCAGCGGGAGAGCGAACTCTGGGACGCCCATATCGGGCCACTGGGTGTAATGGTACTGAGTCACCGTCCGCTCGTTGCTCCGCCCCTTCTGGGAGCCCTACAGGTGGACAACACCAAACAGAAAGTGATTAAAATAAAACTTCCACAAGGGACTCTTGTCTTCAGTCGTGTCATTAAAGCACATTTAAGGAGCTTGAAATGACAATTCTTTTATATTTGAATATATTAACAAAATCTCAAATCTACATTATGTTCCATGTTAACATGACCAGAGAACGTCTAGTTTGCTCAGACATGATAACATTACTGAGCGCTGCCACTGCAGTTGCCCTGTGATCTGATTGGCTGTGTGTCGGACCTTCTTGGTGTTGGTGTTCCTCACAGTGAAGCTCCTCTGGGTGTAGTAGGCGAGCGCTCTGCTGCTCTTCACCGTCACCAGGAAGCTGCCGTACTCCTCCTGCACCTCCGCCGGCCAGTACTGATCACACTTCCTCTGAGGAGGCGGTTAACACAGAAAATACTATAAATGATGATGAAAATACAAAGATTTTTCTCTTTATTCCCAGTAAATAAAAATGTAAATGTAACAAACAGTCACTGATTCTTATTTCAGGTTTAGGAATGCAAACCTTCTGCCAGCATTACAATGTGCAATTCAACTTTTTAACTTTCTCACTTTAATCACATCTCATATTTCGAATTTAAAATGAAATTAAAAATTATTTTCTGAAAGAATTGGATTGGTAATATATGCCTGCAAAATATTCCCCAAACACTTTACCTTTATTAAATGTTACTGGTACATACACATGACTGAATATCAGATAGTCTCGGGTCATCAGTGGAGTAGAATAAACGTGCGGGTAAAAGCTACGCTCGGGTCACTCACTCTTCCTTTCTCCATCAGGTTGGTGATCATCACGATGACGCAGACGTTTTGCTCCCAAATCATCCTCCAGAAGTCCTCGGTGCTCGACTTCAGAGGACCCTGAGCGGCGATGTACGACCGCGGATTCTTAAACGCCTGAGGAAACACATCAGCTGCTTTAAAAAAGAAATCTTAAGAACACATAATGCACAACATCTTGAGAAACTAGCAAGAGGACACTGGATTGTAAAAATCATCCAACCTAAACACAGCCAAATGTTGCCAACTCTTTTCCAGTTAACGTTGCAGCACGAGCTCCTCAAGTTGCTACATCTAGCGAGAGTCAGCAAGTCGGCAACACCGACAGCCCGTCCCTCCAGAAACAAATCAATACATTCGTACCGGATGAAATGATTGGTCGAGCGTATTACAATCCTGCGACAGCCACGGATACAGGATTTTATTCTTTCTATTTTTTTGTCAGAGCATTTGATTCGTTTATCGTTGTCAGGATCTAATGAGGATTTAAAAAGAAGAATACCAGCCCTGCAACAAGCTGATGTTTACTGGTGTGATGTTCACCATCTTAGTTTATCGTGTTAGCATGCTAACATTCACAGCTGAGGCTGATTGGTCATCAGTTCTGCAGGTATTTGATGATAAACTAAAGAATTGGACAAATTGACCTGTGATTGCACTATTACAAATAATCCTGAGAGGAACATAAATGTCTGAAACACATTTCATTGCAATTGTTTTTGAAACATTTCACTAAAAAACACAAATATTAACATCATGTCAAGACAGGGATCATTGTCCTTTCTCTTACTGGATAAGTGAAAACGTCCTCATCCTGAGGAAAACTCAATTTCACGGCATCTATCCAGGAAGACATTTCCCTTAAAGTTAAAAGAAGTGAACCGGCTGGTGGTGCTAAAGGAAAAGTCACTAAATTCTATAAGTCTACAGGATGTATCCCCTGGGCACCATGAATGTATGATATTTGAGATGTTTCCGTTCTGGACCAAAATGGCGAAACGACAGACCGGCATCCATAGAATAATGAGAAGGGGGTGGCCGTCGCCATCTTGCCTTCAAATCGGTCTATTTGACTCTAAATGGACCATCATTTATTTTATTTTTTATTTTAATTTTATTACACTATATTCATCCCGGAAGGATAAGTTGGTGTCTGCATTTGCATTGAAGAAGACTTTAAACTAGAGATTGAGACCATAAACTCATGTTTACAATGTTTACTGAGGTAATAAATCAAGAGAGAAGTAGAGTCATTTTCTCATAGACTTCTATACAACCAGAGGAGTCGCCCCCTGGTGGACATTAGAGAGAATGCAGGTTTAACACATGAACACATTGACTGCTTACTATACATAGATATTAACAATGCTGGATATAGAATATGTTAGAAAATCTGCTTTGCAAATGTTTTATGAGGAAAGTAGAGCTCAAGGATTCGCACAAAGCATTTTGGTTAATAGAACTCCACAAGGCCCCTTTAAAGGCCAGCACAGGAAAAAATACATAAATAAAAAGTGGTACTTGTTCTCAGCAGATGTCAGCATTCAATCTCTCACTTTAACAGTTTCATAACCTTCACATGACTGACGAGCTTGAAGCCGCAGCCATACTGTGAGCTGGAGAGATCCTCAACTTTGTAACGCCGGCTCTCCAGAGAGGCCATGACAGTTGTTTTCTTTCTTTTCACAAAATGCCAAACGCTGGAAAATGAGATTTCAATGTGACGCGCATAATGGAGAGCCTCACAGGTCCCTCCGCTAACAACAGGATGTGCCATGAATAGGTTTAGGAAGACAGAGGAGGAAAAAGTACGTTTTGACAGAGTCAATACGCAGAAACAAGGCTGGAGGTGAAGGTGAAGGCCTCAGCTTGTGTGGAGCTGAGAGTGAAACGGAGAGTTTCTCACATCCACGTAGTTGGCGTTGATGTAATCTCCAGTCTTCCCGTCTTTGTCCGTCTGCGACGAGAGTCTCACTCGGCTGTGGTCATCTGAGGGTGAAAGACAGATTCAATAAAGAAAAAAGAGCAATTTATATTCTTCTTATCGACAACAAATCCCACGAAAAGACAAAAAAACAACCGCGTGTTAGTCTGTCTCACTTAGTGACTTCCTGTCTTTCTCCTGAAGACGTAGAACTTTAAAAACACATCACAAATATAATGTTTCATTAAAAAAAAAAGAGTCTCAGTAATGTCCTGAAACAGCTGGTCACCTTTCACCTGAGCAGCCGGATGATTTGATTGGACGTCAATCAAACTCTTGCCGAGGCCAGTCGGGAGAAGAGCAGAAAAAAAACATCCTTTCCACCAAGAAAAGCCTTCAGTGACGCTCTTTGCTCTTTTTTCAATGAACAGTCAAAACGATCTGATCTCATCACGACTGCAGACTGAAACATGTGTGGCTTATGAGATTAAAACAGAGCCACACTAAGTTGTACTCACAGGCCAGGATGTTGCTGTATCTGTTTTTAGTTTTGTTGTCGGGATGGTTGGAGCTGTCGGTCGTTATCCCCATGTCCACCGTGCACGTCTGAACCTCCTGAACACACACACACACACACACACACACACACACACACACAGATAAAACGTTACCTGTCTGTAGAGCTGAGCGTAATCTGAAAATGTTCAATACTGTTTCCAATATGATACCTATATGAGTATAAACACGCTTCTTTCTTTATTAAACAGCAGAAGTTTAAAAGCTCAGTGAGAGGATTTGGTGCTCGTGGTTTGTAAACACAAAATTCAAAGTTGGCCTCTCCTCCCCGGCTCAACGACACCAGCAGCGGCAACATGCGTTTGTACGTCCACAGTTTCACAAATAACAAAAAACACTTTGCGCTACGAGACGAGACAACAACTAGGAGAGCATCGTCTTACCTCGCAACTCTCCTTCAGTATCTAATGACGAGGGTGAGGAAGCAGCAGGCAGGCCGGGACGATTCCGTGACAACACGGTCAACCAAAGAGGTGCAAGAACACAAATTACAAGACGACATGGAAAATACACACAATACAGATCATGCTGCTGCCGACACAACGGGACAAATCAACCCAAATACACACCGGGGTCATCCAGCGTTCAGATTCATTTACAATAAAACAAATCTTTACATAAAAAGAGTCGTCTTTGTGTTGATTTTTCCTTTTGTGGCAGTTTGAGAACAAAACAAAGTTCAGCTTAGATTCATGTCACGCTGTTCTGCTGAAAGCCGACAGATAAAAGACGACATGAAGCAGGACTGCAGCGTTCACCGAGAACACGCTGTAAAGTATCATTGTTATTGTTATTAATATTATTCACAGTCCACAATAGTCCCAAAACGTTGCAGCCCTTTTGTCTTCGCTGTAACTGAGTCTCATCATCACAGCTCATCATGCAGCATGCAGCCAATTAGACACAACCCCCATGAAGCACACACACACACACACACACACACACACACACACACACACACACACCAGAGATATTAATCTGCGATGATTACCAAGAGTTTGATCTTCAGTCGGAAAGTGTAAATGTTTTGTACCTCTAACTCTCGCTGGAAGCCATTTGTGTCGTGAAGCTCGGCCACGTGTTTCACAAACTGCTTCACTGGAAAAGATGTTTGCTCGTCTGGAAGACAAAACAGGAAACAACACTGAGCGAAGAACATGCAAATGAGGAAAAGTTTCATCACCTGAATCTAGTTTGAGAATAGAGAAAAATGAATGATGTACAAATCATGAAGCCCTGAGAGGCAAACTGTGAGTGTGTGTGTGTGTGTGTGTGTGTGTGTGTGTGTGTGTGTGAGAGAGTGTGAGTGTGTGTGTGTGTGTGTGCGTGTTACCAGATGTTAATGCAGCAGTGGACGGTGCAGCGATGACTCTCGGTGATGAGTTGTCGTCGATGTAGAAGTGAGCCGTCTGGAAACAGGTCCTGCACACAAACACAGCAGAATGTATTTTGATTGTAAGAAATCATCTTTAACTTTGAAAACTATAAAGTCACACTTTTGTCTAAAAACTAGGAAGAGGTTTCAGGAAATAAACGGATGACTTCTACCTCTCTGTATTTTAGGTTTGACAACATGTATAGATGTTATTTGACATTGTTTAGCATTATAACTATTATCTCCACAGCGCTAAAGAAAGACGTTCACGTTCTGGGGTGAAGGAGAAACGTTGCAGCTTGTTTGCATTTCTTTAAACCGATCACAATCGTCTCCAGCATGAGATAAACACACCGTGTACGTCTGGTGAGTCAGACGAGTGTTTTACATAAATACATAACGATCATCAACACATACTGACAGTTAGACTACATTAAGTCATCGAAATACAGAACTACTGTGTAGAAAACACAAATACTGATAGAAAGAGCTTTGTTTTGGAGAAATTAGAAATGAATTAAAGATGATATACAGAGAACATATATACTGAATGTGACTAGAGAACCTGCTGAAAGGCAGAAGATGCTTTTGTTTTCATGCGATTCTCGTTTAAACCCAGATTTTGGAGAATCCACGTAATCTTCCCAAAAACACAGGAAGAAAGATGTTCCGTTAATCCTCGACAAGTTTTTAAACGGATGAGATTGCGTCTGATGAACCTGTGTCGTCTCGGCCAGAAATGGGCATCAGGGATTATCACAGACACAGAGAAACAGTAAACGGGTTGAGCTCGCAGATTAAAGGCGTTCTGCAGGAATCACAAACAGATATTCTCTCAGAACGTCTGAATAAAAGACCTGGAGTTCCTCTGACATCTAGACTTCTCTTAACTGTTCATCTCCACAGACTTCCTTTATTGATTAGACAGCGAGCTGAAAAGAGCAACGCTGCAACTGGTTCAGGAGACAAAGTTAAATCAATAACAGCAAGAACTTTATTAGTCCCCTTTTAAAACCAAGAAACATAACAAAATGTATGATCCTGTGTAGCTCAACAGGCAGAATAAAAGCCCTTTCATGTAGAGTGTGTTACAGCTATTACAATAACTGTTTTGATTTTAATCTCATCACTAACGCCGGTTCATAAAAATAGCCTTAAGGTTTATAGTTATTAATGTGCACTGTCCCTTTAAATAAAGCTGTAACTACTTAAACAAATAAATACAAATGTTGTTATTGTTATTTCGATAGTTTCTCAACACAAAGGAACACGAGGACCGTTGTAAACATGTTCCAGAGATGTTCACCTTCGTATGAATATCTAAGTATGTATTTATTAGAACTTCTGAGTTTTTATGGGCTTCAACCACAGATAACTGGAGGTGATAGGTTATAACCCTAACCCTTGTGTTGATCCATTGGGTGACATGTTAAATGTAAATTAACTGCCCTCAAAATCACACTCTATGTCAAAGGCTCTTAAGGCATTAACACTGCAGATGGTTGCAGGTTTGAATCCCACCGGAGGGAAGACGACTGAAGCAGAAAATGACGTGAATTTATAGAGTTTATTAATCAAATCTATACAGCAGCTTTCATCCAAACGTATGCTTCACATAACAGACACTCCAGCTGTAATGTCACATATGCTGCTGCTCGACTGAATGTTTGCTTCTACCATCAACATGTCTTCATGGCAGCACCGGCTTCGTCTCTTCACAGATGCTATTTGACGCTGTGCGACTCGGCAGCTTAGATTATTGTTCAGAAGACGTCATTCTGCTGCTGTTCATTGGCCAATTCAGTTTCCTTCATTTGTTTGTCTACTGAGACTGAAACTACATAATCTGATTATATTGATGTAAGAAGCTCAACTTTAACCTAAAAAAAAGAAGGAAAACAGCTGCTGCTCACACGCAGTCTGCACTGAACACATTCACTATCTGTATCCTCCACAGATTGTGTCAGAAGTGGATTTAGTCACCATGACGTCACCCGTTGGTTTGAGGACTACAGTTTTGAAGCGTCACTTTGGCCGTCGCCATCTTGGTTTTTGGCCGTCGCCATCTTGTTTTTTTGCAACCAGAATTGACACGAGACGCTGAATAAGACATTTTACAGGCAACCAAAATGTTACAATTAACTTCCATGAGATGAAAACATACATGAACTGAAAGTTTTAAAGTTCTAACACTAAAGTACGGACGACTCCAAGGAAGTGCAAAAAACTGCAGTTGACCTCCATGTTAAAATGAACAACTTTAGAGCAGAAATAAACATATTTACAGCCTGGTACAAAAAAGTTTGCCCTCTCTATAGCTAACATGTCAATTCATGACAACTCTATGGGGATACAATTATATATAACTCACCCGTTTAAATTATATTAAGGCTTAAAGTCAGGCATAATTGAGGTTCGTCTCAGGAGCTAGTTAGCTGTCTGATCTGCAGCGTCAACCAGCCGTTTGTAGAGTTAAGCTGTGTCGTCACTGCCAAGATGGCGACTGCCTGAAACCAACGATTTTGAGCTTCACAGTTGCTCTTCAGAAACAAGCCAACTACAGAGATTGAGACCATAAACTCATGTTTACAATGTTTACTGAGGTAATAAATCAAGAGAGAAGTAGAGTCATTTTCTCATAGACTTCTATACAACCAGAGGAGTCGCCCCCTGGTGGACACTAGAGAGAATGCAAGTTTAGAGGCCTTCAACATTGGCTTCACTCTTACTCTCCTGTTATCCATGTGCTGAAGATTGTTTGCAGGTGCAAAGTAAAATGAATTTATATTTCTTATATCTCAACCTTTAATTAGGATAAATGAACATCTCTGTCTTAACATCGTAGTTATTAATGATGCTTTTACTGATCTTTTCACTAGTTCCTCTAAGAAGCACATGGACTCCGATAGAAAAGCTGCAACAAGAAAGAAGCTGGAAGCCTCCGCTCGTTGTAAACTTGTAAAGTCGACCAAAATCCCCTCAAAGTGCTTGACCTCAAATGCACAGCAGCAGTGTCCAAATGAGCGACGCGTTGTCAGGAGCGAGTGAAAAGGGACACGACACCGGCAGGATTAGCTCAGTTTGGCCTCCTGCCGCTCGGCCTACAAGACGCGGACACGTTTCCTTCTGTCCGACATAATCAGGCGGATGTCCTTTTCCATCCCCCGACCCTCTCGGCTGAGTGGCGGCTCGCAGCGCTGCAGCCGAGGTACATCCTTCACCGAGGATTAATCCCCCTGCTCCCCAGATTATTACCGGATTAGCACTGCTCAATCTTGGAGATACAACAACAAGCAGAGCGCAAAAACAAGAACAATATGTCGAGTCTCCCGCACGGCAGATGAGAAATGTACAAAATACTGAAAGTGTTTACACTGCGTTTGACAGCGTGTCCTCAATCGGATTTCTGAATTTGGTTATTTGACGGTCTGAGTGGGCAGCAGGGATGCTTCTCTTCCTTACTGCAGCCAGAGATGTGTTCAGCACAAGAAGAAAGGACTTTTGGGGTTTAAGTCCTGAATAGGCAGTAATACAAAAAGTAAAACTTTTAAACCATTCTCAAAGAAACTTTTGTTTGCTCCAAATCAAACATTTAATATTGTCAATAAAAGAACATAAAAAAACAGCATCTCTCAAGGTTAACTGAGAGGAATAAAAAAAACACTCTTTGACTGCTGTCAGAAGTGAGCGGCTGAAAGGATTCATTCAGTCTGCAGCAGCACAACCCAGGAGGTATTGTTTGTGAAGAGGCTGCTGGTGAACACACACACACACACACACACACAGACACACAGACACACACACACACACACACACACACAGACACACACACACACACACACACACACACAGTGTTTGAGGAGATTCAGCTTCCCAGACAAATATGAGAGTCTTCTGGCTAAAGTCCCCACTTCAATCCCCCCCCCGATAGTATTTAGAGATATGATGGGGTTGAAGGGCAGGGGGGGGGAGGCCGTGTGTGTGTGTGTGTGCTTAAAAAAAATACTGGATGGATTATTCACACATATAAAGACAAAAATCAATGATAAAAACAGGATGTTGCCGCAGAACTTAACAAGCTTTGATTTTCAGGATTTGAATGATTTGTATCTTTAAGTGATATTTAAATGAGTTTCTATACACAAAGGAAGGATGAAAGAAAGTGTTGACACTATGCAGGAAAAGAGTGTGATTTGGCCCTTTTTTGTGTAAATTTGAAAAGTGTAAGATCAAACAGTTCTACCAACGCAGTAAATGAATATAACGGCAGAGTTACTCGGGGTTGCACGTAGACGGACGCGGTTATAAATCCCTTCATGTGGTTGTTTTCTTATGTACTTGTACAGGTTTTGAGCAAAATATTTAGGATTATTTTCCTCAAAATCTGTACAAGTATATAAGAAAATGTGTGTCACTGTTCAACGGTTCAAACGAGTTGGAAATGTGGTAAAATCATCCAACCTGCATGTGCTACCATGTAGTCCACAAAATACCATTTCAACGTTCCTGAACATAATGTCGCCCTTTCAGATGTTGTTCATTCACAGCACGAGGAAGACAGGAGAATGCTGAAATTATTTTCCAGGACATATTTTTAATTCCTGTAAAATTGATCAATTGTTTTCCAGGTTTTCCAGGATGCAGCCCTGCCCTCCCTTATTATGTTCTATGTATTTTTAGGCATTTTTAAGCTCGTATTAGAAAGTGAGCAGAAGAGGACAATAAGAAATTCAGCTAAAGAGACAGGAAGTTCTCAGTCTCCTCATGCAACTAAGTCCACTTCCTAAAGTGTGATGAAGCTCAAAAAGACCTCATTGTGTCATAATGGGATGATCATGTCTGCTGGATCTGTAAATAACAGCTCTATGAGACAATAATGTGTTTCTATCTGCCTGCTGTGGACGTCTTCTGCCCTCTAATGGTGAAAACCATCAAAGAAACGCAGATCTAAATACACCAGCAGTCCTGACCTCCAGTAGATGAGGATACCGATGAGGACGATCAGGCCGAGGCCGGTGAGGGTGGAGATGACGGCCAGAGGAACCACAGCCTTCCTCTCTCTGTCCCGGATCGAACCCACTCTGGACTCGTGGCTGCTGCTGCTGGCATCTGGAGGGAAACAACAGGAAGTGGACAGAAGTTAAAGCTCCTGTGACCGTTTCTCAGAGGATACGCTGCTCTGGTTATAGAAATGTAATCCACTGATCTGAATACATACGTAACCCAGCGGTGTCTTTGTATTGACATGTTCAAAATGTGCTATGAACTGGATGTTAGTTCACATCGTTAAATATATAAAAAGTGGCTATTGTTGCAATTATTTTCGTACAACTGGAAACGTTTCGGTCAGTTTCATCAGGTTTGCATTTGCACTATAACCACTTCAAGTGACAGAAGTTGGACTTTTCAACCATTTTTCTATCACTTTTAGATATCAGTTCCCACTGCGTATCCATTGCTTTTAGCTAATTCAGCATTTTCAGCCACTTAGTCATTACTTTTAGATTTCTTTCACCATTTTCAGCTATTTATCGATTACTTTAACCATTTTCACCATTTTCAGCCAACTGTTTAGACATCTCTGATCGCGTTTTTCATGCATTCTCAATCTCAACATATAGTGTTCAGGTGTTACAGCTGAAATGATTGGCTCATTTCTGCCTCCGGAGCAGCTTGGCCTCCTTGAACTGTTTTGCAGAACTTAAAACTCAAAGATTCTGTCGCGTCTCCGACTTCAGAAAGTAACATGAACCATATTAACTGAAACACAATGCATACCACCACATTCACATTCACCCGCCAACCACACCACCTCTAAACTCATCACATTCAAACCGCCCAAAGCCCAGAACCTCTTGAAAGAAAACACAGAGGCACAAAGGCTCACAATGAACAAGTCCATCACAGATCAAACTGAGCTGGAGTTAATCAGGTGGCATCATTGTGGCGATGAGTAATGGCTGAACCTGACCTCACTGAGCCGATGCTGCTGAATCCCTTTACTGTCTGATAACCAGAGAGGAAAAGACTGGAATGGATTAACCTCGACTGGGACGCTGTTTGTCAGAACTTACCTCTTCTGCACAAACGGACTCAGTTCAGCCGTGAATGGCTGCGTCGGCCCCGTCGACTAGTTCACAAGGGGCGCTTTCTACTCTGTGTAACCTCAAGAGTAAAAACCCATTCATTCAATCGTCCATCCAACAGATCGCTGTCTGCCTCTCATGAAACCCTGGACACACTGGTGGTGATGACGGGCAAAAGGAAAGAGAAACAGCCCGGAGAGAAGACAGAAAAGGTTTGTTTGTTTTGGTGCAGAAGCTGAAGAGGAAAGACTGAAAGAAGATCTGATTTAAGGACACGAAGCTTCCAACTGAAGAGACGCCAAACTAAATGATGAAGATGGAGTTCTGTTACTGTAGATGTGGCTGTCAGGATGTATATGGAAACACACTGGGGATATTTATTTTCTTTTTTTAAATAATACCATTAGTTATTGTATTTTCTACCTTCCAGGCAGCCATTGTTCTCGGTTCATTCATACAACCCAAAACTACATATTTGCCACAAAGGGCTTTAAAATGTGCACAACGTACGACGACCTCCATCCGTTGGATTGTTGCTGCAGATAAAGAATCGACTTTAACGTGAAACTTGCTGCGGATAGATGATCACGAAGTGTATGACGCACTCTCTTTAACCTCCATCTGCTCAACTTCAGTCTCTGTCATGGACGTGTAACACGAAACAACGAGCAAACAGGGAAAAACATGGCATGAAGAGATGAATATAATAACAATAACAAGTATGAATTTTGATGTTTGTCGCATGTAAAAGAAACACTAAGAGCATTCTTAAAGTAACTATACGTAAAATCACACTTTGTGTTGCTTGTATCCAGCTCGAGTCTGTGTGAAATCATCTTTAAATAAGTTATATAATCTGATATATCTTATTAAATATGTGCACATTTGTTTCCTTATGTTAAATATGCAAATGAGGCATTATGTAATGGTAACTTTTGGGGAATTTAGTAGAAATCTACAGAAGCAAATAAACAAAGCATTAAAATAAACACCTGAATGTGTATTAAGTCTGATAGAAGACACGTTGCCCAGTGCCTGTAGTGTCTCATCTTAACATTATTCCAAATTTAAAAATCAACCTCAGCATGAAAACATTTACCTGAGAAAGTGTTCCGTAATACTGTTAAGTACACATCATGAGCTACATGTACATGAGCTACATGTAACACCACCAGTGAGGTTCTTTGAATCCATCACATTCCTGCTCTCCTGCAGGAGCTGTAGTCAGATTGTCGGACACTTTGTTGAATCTTTGATGAAACGTGTTGTTTGAAGCTGAATGGATGAATTGCTCTATTTACTAAGCATCATGAGTCCTTCATGAGGCGGGAGGAAGCGCCATGTGAGACAGATGGTGTTTGAACTAGTCGAAGCTTCACAGAGCTCTGCTGCAGCCTAGTGGCCATGACAGGAAACACACGAGAAGAGAAGATCTCTACGTATTTCAGCCAGTGTGCACACATGCAACCTCACTAGGAGATGCACCAAGACAATGCTTCCTGAATCAACATCAAGCTTGTAAAATGACTGTTAATATAATTTAAGTACACATTAACAATGTGTCATCTATCGTGCACCATGTAATAGATTTGATTCTCGCATTTAACATTCAAATAACATTTCTCAAACTACCTTTAAACTCTGAATTACTGCATTAATATAGAGTTATTCTTTTAGATTCTGACATACTTAAAAAGAACAATAAGGGGATTAATAGAATGTATCGTTAGTAAATATACGTCCTGAAGCAACTAAAGGTTTTAAAAGAAACTAAGCAGTCACCACTTCTTGCTCGATTTTGGTGACGTTATTTTCAACTAATGGTTTGATTTGAAGCTCCTCAGAGATGATCTTCAAAAACGCAAACTATTAACAACTTATGTCAACTTATAAAGTAGATTTGTCGATTAGTTGTAAATAAAATCACTCAAAACAATCAAGACATTTGGGGACTTCTTATTACCACTGGAGAGTCGTCTTGTTTTTTAACGTATGGGTTCATTCGGTGCAACGGTGAAGCACTGAGCTTCTTCACCACGATGTCCCCGGCAGACCTCTCAGATGCATTATGGGATACGCTCCAGCGCTTCACACCCCTAAACAGACTGACTGGTTTAGAAAGTGGATGGATGACTGGTACTAAAATGATGAATGGGTCTCAAATGATGATGAAGATAGATGAAGTTATTGGATCCGGTTTGGTTTTACCTTGCATGCATGAACTTTCTCGCTTTGACAGACAACAAAATGAAAGAAGTGAGATGTAGTTTTGTTGTTGATTGATGGTGGATTAGTCATCTCATCTCTCGATCCCTCAGCATCTTGCAGGTGAAATGCAGTTTTTTTTTGGCCCACATGGACGGCGGTTTTACCTGCGACTGGCTCCTTTTCCTCCGACTCTCTTTCTGTGTGCTCGGAGATACTGAAGTCGGAGGACGTCTCGTTGTCGTACAGGCCTTCAGCCTGCCCCGAGCCACTCTCCTCCTCCCCGGCCAGCGACCAGGGCGAAGCGGACGTTACCGCGGGAGCGGTTGGCGTCGCTGTGCCTCCTACCTCCGAGGTGATGGCACTGCCGCTCTCGCTATCGAAATAGAACGCCGAGGAGCGTTCGTCCAAATCATCGGGGGACTGGCCGGACTCGGAGGTCGCGGACGGGTGAGCGGAATTAGTAACTTTGGTTGAAATAGGGAACGCGCTGTCTCCAGAGGCCGAGGTTTGAACCCTGTCCCACTCCTGATCTACGTCCTCCGGGGAGTCAGGGATCAGGGCCGAGCCCGAGGCACTGCTGCTAGTGTCTAACGCCTGTCCTTCTGGGGTGGGGGTTAAGGGGGAGGCTGTGGGTGAGGAAGGGAGGGCAGAGGTTTGTAAAGCGGAGTTCCCATCTGATGCAGAGAACCAGGGATCCCTGACGGCAGACGCTGTGGCTGCAACAGAAACGGGCAGGTCACTATGGGTGACTCGGAGAAGGAGGGAGTGTGAAGAGGACGATGTGGGAGAGATATGAGCGCTATGGGATTGAAGAGGCTGGTCTAAGGACAGACCATCAGAACCCGCCACAGATAGAGAGTTTAGGAGATCGTCTACACCAACACCAGAGGCCGAAGAGAAGCCCACGCTAGAGTAAAGCTCTAAGCTAGCAGAGTTCCAGGCCGAGGACGGCAGGGGTACATGAGGAGAGGCATGCAACCAGGACGAGGACGACGTCGGCTCTAGAGAACAGCCGCACACGGGGTCCACGTCGCTAGGGAAGGGAAACCCGTCACCGCTGACCTCAGGGAGAAAAGACTCTATCGTGCTCCCCGTGGCGTACCTTGCGTCCTCGAACCCAACCGAGAGAGAACGGGACAAGCCCGGAGTCGTGCCGGAAAGGGTGAAGTCACTAGAGAGGAGAACTGAAGGCTGGAGGGTCGGGCTGAGAGAGAGAGAGACTGTTGAGAGCGACGGATCCCAGGAGGGAGATTCGGACGTGGCGCCAGACGGATCCGGCACCGTTTGGAGAGGAGGGGTATCGCTAAACACTGAGTGGTCACCTGAGGAGACCGACGAAGATGAAGACCCAGACAACAAATCACCATCGCTATCGCTATCGTCGAACCCGACATCGGGGACGACACTCTTCCAACCAGACAGGGGGTGTGAGGGGTGAGGGAGGTGAGGCAAGGTCGAGTCAGGGAGCGTGGGGGTTGAGGGAGAAGCCGGGTCTTTGCTAGACAGCGGAGCGGCATGCTGGGAGTCCGATGCAGAGGCGGACAACACGGGCCAAGAAGAGGAGGGAAGGTCATGCAGGCAGGTGGAGGGGTCCGCGGTGTCACACAGAGGGGAGGAGGAGGAGGAGGAAGAGGAGGAGGTGGAGGGGAGGATAGAGGTGCGCTCACCGTTGGACATCGGCTGTGTGGTCTGCAAGAGAACGCCACTCAACTGGACAGAGGTCGCGGTGGACGAAAAGTGGGGCATGCCGGGACTTGTGGGCCTACGTGGAACAGCTTCACCCGAGGAGGAAGGCTGGGAGGTGGGAGTTTGGATCTCTGGAAGACCTCCAGGTCCAGTGGACATGTCTCCATCAGCGGCGGCGTCTCTGTTTATAGGACGCGCCAGGCCTCGGTCGGTCTCTGCCCGGATGAAGGACGACGACCTCGTTGTGCTGCTCACGTCACTAGGACGGGACCTCAGCGTCGTCGCGGTGCTGCTGTATGAAGAAATACTTTTACCACCTTTTGTCTTTGCACTGGTTGCTGTTGTGGAGTAAAAAGGAGCGTTGCCACTGAAGTCAGCTTCTCCTGTGGTTTTGGTTGAAAGAGGGACCTCTGGTGGACGTGTGGTGGTACTGCGGTGTGCAGTCTCTTCAGAATGGCCCAGGACTTGACCGTGCTGGGTGGATCTGACGGGGGGATCCGGATCAGTGGTGGTTTTCCTCCGACCAGATTCTGCTGTTGTGGTTATGACGCCAGGTAGAGGTAAAAGATGGTATCCAGAGGTCGTGGTCCTAGGAGAGTTTGTAGGTATCCAGGCCGGATCGTAGTCCTCGGTTTGGACCAGTTCATTCCAGGACAGGTCGGGTTGATGGTTGCCCTGTTGATGAGAGAGATGTTTATGAACGATACATGACAGCGATAGCTCAAACTAAACAATGAGATGCAGTGTTTAATAAACAAAAGGTTTTCTTACCTCGTCGTCAAATTCATCTAAATCTGGATCCAGTGCAGTTTCTGCAAAAAAAGTCACAGGTTACATTATTAGTTACACAAAATCTAATCGAAACAAAGACTAAAATAATTCTTAAGAGACGTCAAACTCATGGAATTCACAATTCAACTCTAAACGCTACTTTGATCTTTAAGTTTCTCTGATTTGTGTTTATGTTTGTGTTCATTTTCTGAGTTTGAAAATGTAAAAAAAGAGAGACAAAGGGTGAAACAATGTGAAAACAGTGTGATGGGAACATCACGGAGAGGAGAAGGAAACACAGGGACCATCGGTTTCTTACAGGATGAAATTTCCTCTCAGTTTCGTTTACTCCCAAAAATGGGATCACATGTTCACATGTTTACATCTTGATGGATGTAAACATGTGAAATAAAAAGTGGGAGAAAATGGAAAAGAGGGGAAGGTTGTTCACATCACTTCAAGCAGTATGTTGGCTTTATAATAAACACAATACGCAATGGTGACACACACTTGCATGCAACACGTCAGAGACATTCAGACGTTTGCATTGGATTCCCCAAAGACACAAAAAACAGAAAACCTTGAACAAAAAGCATTTGCAATTAATCATTTTTTTCTGTTTCATCCTCCTTGTAAAAGCAGACGAGCCAAGAAAAGGAGTTTGAACCGACAACCCTCAGCTACTTTCCTCTGATTGTCTAAACTTTTTTTCTAGGTATTCAGACTCCACCCGTCTGTCACCTGAGAGGGATAAAACAAACTCACACAAAGAGTTATTTGCAAATGCCACATAGTGGTGACCGAGCGGAAACGCACAGCACACAGTTGGGGGGGGGGGGAGGCGGTGGTGGAGGTGTGGCTCTTACCTGTCTGAGACACACATCATGGTGACCTTATCGAACTGGTTTGTGAAGCATGAGGTGAGGTTGTACAAGTTTAATGAAGGGTTTGAAATGAAAGGACGTAAATGGCTAAAAAATTAACTTAAATGTATCGATGGAAAGATCTGGTTGAGGTACGTTTGACGGATAAAGACAGAGATGACGGGATAAACGTGATGTAGTGTTCACGATGTTAGTTCATTAAGTCATTAGTTGATCAAAGTTTTAGTCAATTATCAAATAAAAACACCAAATATCTACATTTTTTAAATGTTACAGCTTCAAAAATAAATTTTAAATATGTGTGATTTCCTTTATTTTATTTTATTTAAAAAATGTGCCACTGATATTTTTTTTATTAACTTTCAAAATGAGTTGGACATTTTAAATAAATCTTTGGGCTCTAGGAAATGGTGAACTGACATTTTATATTTTAAATAGATATTTGATGGATTAATATAATATATGACATCATGATTTTAATTGGAACAAAAAGCTTGTTTCCTGAATCTTAGTTTGTGAGAGGTCTCTTAAATCTTAGCCGAGCTAGCTGTTGTAGCACTGAGCTAATGTATCTTCATGACCGCTTTAAATAGAAAAAGACGTTTGTGAGCTTCCATCAGGCAATCTTGTTGGACTTTTGTTGAGTTCATGGCAACAGTTGCACCATTTTTAGGTGCAGCTACGATGGCAATGCAACATTAGCTTAGCACGGCACAAACAATGGTGTCACAGAAAACTCACGTGTCACGTGAAACCTACTAGATGTTGCAGAATATCACCCATTCATGCAAGCTGACACTGAAACAGGATGCAGGGTATTTGGTTTTCTTTGTCACAACACATATTAGTTTATTCAACATAAAGTTCAGTTGAAAATACAAAGTTACTACGATTCCATGTTACACAAAATGCTGCGGCACACATGCGGCACACTGGTCTTACTGTGAGAGGCAGAAGGAACGGACGCCACACAACGGAAAGAAAACAAAGATGGCCCCCAAACCAAGCATGTTATTTGTTCATCTCAGAATATAGAAATATATAGAAAAAGCACATTTGAAGAGTACACAAAGAAACTTGTGATACAGTTTTGACACACAGAAAAAGACGAATCAAACAAGAGCTGTGTGTGTGTGTGTGTGTGTGTGTGTGTGTGTGTTTAAATCATGAAGTAAATGCCCCAGAGTGAAGGGGAGGGAGGGTGAAGAGAGAGATAAAGAGGAAGAAAACCCCCAAAAAGATATCAGTCAGGGTTCAGAGGGAGGACGGGAGGGAGGATGGAAATGTTTCTAAAAGAAAAGAAATGTGGCCAGTCAAGTAAAACTGGAAGAAGTGAATTTTACTATTTCTCCTGAAAGTCGAGTCAGTGCATTTGTCTTTCAATATATTAAATAATTTTAGTTATGTTTATACAAATATATATATTTTATATTACCTGTAGTCTCATGTCATTCCAGTCTTTGTGCTAAAGATTGTCTATACGTGTGAAGTTAAAAGCTTTTATCTCGCATTACATTTGATTAATATGGAAGCCCATCACTGCCAGAAAAATAAAAATAAAATCAGAAAGATTAGGAGTGAAATGAGTAAAAATAAGTCAAAATGAATAACTACAACAACTACTCAACTGCGAAGTCAAAATCCTGATTTAAAAATAACTATTTGCCATTTAAAATCACAATTGAAATATTATAAATCAAAATGATGAGATGTAAACTTTTTAAAACATTCATTTGATAGTAAGGCCACATACTACCACATTATTATTAAATTAAAGTTTTGAAATACTTTTGAAATATCATTTTGAGATACTAAATCAGAATTATGACTTAAAACAGCAGAAGTGTGACTTACTATCTCACAATGGTTTACACTTAATTTAAACTTTATTTTTGTCAGTAAAAAGTTTCATTTTTGTTTTTTTTGTTTCTTTCCCGTCTGTAATGGGCTTCCACAGATTTAGTCTTCCTCTACGCTTTCATTTTTAAAAGTCGTAACTTCTCTGCTCGAAGAAGACCGATAACTAATTTTCCGTATTTCAACTTAACGTAAAAAAAAAAAGAAAAAGTGCGTGAAGAGAAATATCTGTATAGCTCATCTGCCGAACTCTACGCTCGGCCTCGGGCACGGTCGCTCTTACCGGGGTCGTCGATGGGCATGGCGACCGTCAGCAGGTCGCTCAAACGTCCGTACAGACTGTTGGTGCACACCGCCACCACCTGGACCACGTAGCTGGTGTTGGCCAGCAGGTCGTCGAGTATCGCCCCCTGGTGGAGAGAGGAGGAAAGACATCAGCTGAAAAGAACCAATCATTTCCCAACAATGCCATCAGTCTCAGGTTGGTCTCCTTCAAGACAGTTGGCTTTAGTTCTTTTCTATGAGCATCGTAAGGACTCACGTTACGGTATTGTGATGTGGTAAAGCAGTGGAGACACGCATTATCATGTTACGCCATTCAATCTAACGGACAATCAAGTCATTTCAATCTCAGTCTGAATTCAGTTGGAGCTCTGGCTTTTAAGTAATTGGAGGAAAGTTTTGCACAAACACGAGCAATACAGAAATATCTGTTCTAAAGACTCGAGGCAAACACATTGTTTATCATGCACTGATCTTTCCTGAGATTTTAACTTCCATAACTGGTCTTCTTTCAGACTCGAGGAAAGAAAACATTTATTTTACTACTTTGTTTATTTGCGTCTGTAGATTTCTCCTAAATTCAAAAGTTACCATCAGATAATACCTCATTTGCATATTTAAAAATGAATTTTCACAGAACTTGTAATACAAAAAAATGATTGTGTACAATCAATGTTTGCTTTATAGATTGTCAGCGATCAGCTTGGTGTCAGCAGATAGAGGAGGTAGATTTATGGTTTTGGATGTAAAATGCATCACAAACTACTTTGAGGAAATTGTTATTGATGAACATGAACTTGTGGACGGTCCCTCTCACCACGTCCTGGTCTCCGTCGGTCAGGTATATAGAGGGGGCGGAGTTCTCCATGTTGGCCGGTCGGTAGGTGACGGAGTATTTCTCGATGCTGGAGTCGTACACCGCCCGGGGCCGCTCCCACGTCACCAGCAGGCTGCTGAGGTTGTGAGGCACCGCCTGGATGTTCTCCGGCTCCGAACTGCACACTGACAGAAGCAGACAGAAGACAACTTAAATCAAATCTAATTTTTTTTAGAGGCTCAGTAAATACCTCTCAATTTATTTTTGTGCAAATCATGAAACGTAAAAAATATATTAATTTTTTTACAGTAGTTTTCTGTTTTTTTTCAAATTGTATGTAAACATTATAAAATAACAGACATTATCTATAAATGTACAACCAAACTGTTATTTTAAGGTATATGCCAATAATGACAAATTATGTGAATGAATGAAAAGTAAAACGATTAAAGGCAAAGTCAGAATAAACGATGTATTGCAATATTTCAGGCAGGAAATAATCTTTTATTTCCAACCTCATAAGTACTAAAGAAAGCGTGGGTAAAGTGCTACAGATGCTCCTCTTACATGGAGGATATGGATCCAACAGATTCTTCATAACCCATAATCAATATTCACCCACTATGGCCTCATGGTGAAATGCTGCAGAACTCATACAACACTTCAGAGGGTTGGATCTATTATTATTATTGTTATAATAATTATTTTATGAGACACTTTAAGATAGTAGCAGATCCAAATACAGAATAAGTAATAACTTCTATGAATACACGTTGTTTTAGAGGTGAGATCGGGGCCTTGGTGGCTTCCTGAAGTTGTTCCTACGCTTGTTATCTAAGAGTCTCCTGCACTCAAGGATTCTGGGTCAGAGTTGAGATTAGAGGAGCAGAGATAATGCAGATGACAGACACAGAGGTCCGGATTAACTCGGATTAAAAAGGGGCCGAGGATGGATGACAATAGAAAAGGAGGATTGAGGCTCCCTCTGGACAAACAGTGACACACTTCCTGCTCTAATGGCTCCGAGCTGAGCCTAAACCTCTGCTCTCACTGACCTCTAACCTTTACTTCCTCTGAGGCTTCAAAGTGTGCGGCTGTAGCGGCGATACAATCAGTTTACTCTGACACACAAAAGGAAAATACCACCAGTGAGTAAAAAGTGTCCAGCTTCAACCACTAGAGGGCGGAGTGAGACAGGTGAACACATGTTTAAACCTCACAGCAGCGTTTATTCACCTTCAAATCTACCAAAGTGATATCTCTGACACCAATGAGGCACTTTGATCTTCAGCAGTTCATCAGTGCTGACGAGTAAACCAAATTAAAAACATCGCCATCACATCAAGTGATGGTCAAAACCAGCTGGACTAATATTATTTATATTTAATAAGGAATATTTAATCAGGAATCTGGCAACAGAGAAGATTTAACAAGCCTCAATTAGACTTTTATTTACTGCTTAATAGACCTGTTGCTGTTGAGTCAAGATGATATCTGGGGAATAAACACGTTCATATACAACACAAACAGTGAAATCTGAGTGTAACTGTATAGAAAACTAAATAAATCAACTTTATGAACATTTCTTAGAGATAGTATTTGACAGTGAAGATTCTGACCTGTAAACAGACACATGTATAAACTCTTTACAGTCCCCTGGTTCAATAACCTCATTACTAATTATCGAATACAACCAGCGTGGAAATCAAAGTTGACTTCCTCCGGCTGTCACCGAGGCTTCATCTGGGTCACTGGAGTTCTATTCTCGTCCCTCATGTCATTTTCTCTCTCGTCATGCGGGATCGTCTCTGATCCAGTTCGACCTTATTTAATTAGAATTAACCAGATATTCTTCATGCTCGGGTTCACAATGAGCTCCGGAACCAGCCGGGTGAGACATTAACGTTTTAGAGAAGCGTTTATAAGCTGTTATAATTTAATTCATTCATACTTATAGAAGACATGAGACGTGTTTATCATATTCTAAATATCTGTTTTGAATAGATAGATGTGTTTGAATATCGATCATCTTTACTTACTGTACTGGTTTTATGCCTGCAAAACCAAATCTTCTTTGGAACAACAATAGAGGTTCTTTACATTTAGTTGACGATATATTAGCATAACAACAACCGTTTAGATGTTGGATAAATTAAAGGAGTACTCCACAGATTCATCTTTGCACTCATCACTGTCAGACTCACGATGGTCAGTTTAAAACAAAGAGGATTAAAATCGATTCTGAAGAATCAGAGATATCCTCTTTTATATTCCAAACATTCATCTTCCTTGTCAAGAAGTGGAGCCTACATTACCCAGAATGCAGCTTGACCACCAACAGTTCAGTCTGAGGTTCCGGCATGTTGTGCTAGTTAGTGGCTAATGCAGCCTGCAGCAGAGATGATCAGCTACAGATGTCTCACTTCTTTCTAACTCCACACATTCAGCTTATTTGCAAACTTGTATTTTTCAGACCCAACCACCGCCGACTCAAGTGACATCACTTGAGGACATTCATCAGACTTCACACAGCTCCGTCTGGGGACACTTAAGGCTTTGTACGACTTTCTCTTTAACGTGTTACTCTCCAACACCTGCAAACACTTTCCCCCTTTAAAACAATACAAATTCATACCAGGCGGCAACCTCCGGGTCTGTAACGTGAAGCCAAGTGTGTTAAAGCTGCATTCTCTCTAGTGTCCACCAGGGGGCGACTCCTCTGGTTGTATAGAAGTCTATGAGAAAATGACTCTACTTCTCTCTTGATTTATTACCTCAGTAAACATTGTAAACATGAGTTTATGGTCTCAATCTCTAGTTTCAAGTCTTCTTCAATACAGCATGATGTTCATTTAGTACATTATGGTCCATTTAGAGTCACACAGACCATAAAGCAGGGGATGCTTTAGGGCGGGGCTACACGGTGATTGACAGGTTTCTTTCACAGCGCTGTCTGGTCTGGGAGTCGTCCGTGTTGTCGTCTAACGACTTTGACCCTTTCACAGTGTTTTTAACTGTAACATGAACTGTACTCAGCTTCACCCTTTAGTGTCACTTCCAAAATATCCAGATTGTGACGGACAAAATGACAAACTCAAGGCTTCAAAACGGTGACTATGTCCACTTCTTATATACAGTCTGTGACTTATTGCATGTTGTATATCAGGGACTGTTTTCAAAGCTTTCCTCCATGATGCATTCAGGGATACTCCAAAACTGTATTTTATCAAGATGATAACACAAAATGTGGTTGTTTCTTCCACCGAAGCTGAATGTGGAAGTGACCCTGAACAGGTTGAGTTTACATAAACAGGCCCTGCTTTCAGCTGCACCACTACGGCATGACAACCCGTCACCTGCAGCCTGTGACATGAATGACAGGAGGACGTATTGGATACCTGGTGTGAGCACCTCCTCGGTGCCGGTGTAGGAGGAGAACACCTGACCCATGAACTGTTGCTGCTGCTCCCTGTAGTTGTTCTGCAGGTAGTCCATGAGCATCACGTATCCGGCCTGCTGCATCGTCATCACCTCGCAGAACATCTTCAGCTGCAACACACAACAACAAAGAAGCCGCGTCAGCACCGTCCTGCAGCGAATAACAGCGCTGAGTCAGAGCGGATGAACCGGAGCCGACGGGAAAGATAGAAGAAGGTGTAACGCGTGGCCTGATATCAACCACACTGAAACTACAATCATACCATCACCCAGATCTATGTTTGCTCTCTCTTCAGTGCTGTCTGGTTATCTGTAGTTATAATTAACGCTTTTAGTTCATTTATAAATGTGCTGTTTTTGATTTCAATAATTGTCAACACTTGAACAGAAACGAGGATATATACAATTATATGATCAAATAAACGGAACAAAAACAGCAGTGGCATCTTCACATGTCTTGTTTTGTCCACTAACAGTCCAAAAAAAAAACAAATTTACAAAGGTTTGCAATTATATAAAACAGAGAAGCAGCAGCCAGAGAATGTCTGGAGTTTTTCATTGATAAATAAATAAAGCAATTGTTAAATATCAAAACTGTCAAAATAAATTCTGTAAATCGACTAACAGGGCAGTCGAATCATTTCCAGCACCAATACAATCAGTTTTGTGATTTAACTTTATATTTTTAATCATGAACCTAGAAAACCATCTAAACATAAATGTGTGAACACTATTTAAACTCTATTAATCTGTTTATCAGACAGAAACACACAAATGAAGAACTCTAAACTGCTACAGTGTGAAAACAAAGTGTAAATCATCCACAACACACAGCTGCAGTCCTCCGAGCGGTGTGGAAGTGAATGGGCGTAAAGCAGCCGTGAATCCCGTTAACCCTCCGTACCTGCTCAGGTGAGTCACGTCCCTCTGGATACACAACGCTCCGACTCGTCTGACTCACAGCTCAGAGCCCATTGAGAGCATTTGTGGTTGTTAGTGTCGTGACTTTAAAGAATTAAACTCTGGCAGCTCGACCGGAGCTGGAATGTAGACCAGCTGAGACACGTCACGGAGGTTTGGAGACACATGGGAATCCTCGGCAGACCTGCAACAGCCTGCGTGCATCGGGAGAGTGCTGCCAACATCGCCTCAACTGATGACTAGCTCACCTTCTTTGATGGATCAATTATTGATTTTATCAGCTGGTATCTGACAGTATTTAAAAAGGTGCAATGTGTGAGATCTGGCCAGGATTTTAGTTTAAAATATTTAAAAAAATGAATGAACATTTTACTGAATCAACCCAAAAAAAAGCTTTAATTTGATGCAGTAAACAGATAAAAAGGATGATAAATGAACTACAGAATCATGACAATCTGTAAGAAGTCTGAATTGATCCTTTGTCAGGTCTGGCTTTAAGATGACAAGCAAAGAACTTTTAAAAACACATTTAGTTTTAAGGTATAAAAGGCTATAAACGTGTGTGTGTGTGTGTGTGTGTGTGTGTGCGTGCGTGGGGCCTCCTGCCTTATGACAGTTGTGTGTTAAGAGTCAATGAGTGAAAGACTGAAAGAGTCTGAAGGAAGATGACATCTGATCCTCAGGAGGCGTCACACTAGAACCTTTATGTTGAAAAGCTTTTGTGTGTGCTTTCACACGTTTGTTTGTGTGTGTGTGTGTGTGTGTGTGTGTGTGTGTGTGTGTGTGTGTGTGACTGCCCCAGGCCGAGTGAGTGATTGATAGCCATGCAGAAGCAGTCATTACATCAAACAAATATTGGCTCACAAAAGATCTTTACGGTATTTAAGCTGCCACACACACACACACACACACACACACACACACACACACACACCTCCTTTCAGCTCCTTGAACACATTTTCTGTAATTGTGCCGCTTGTATTTTATCCGGAACAGAAAACCCTTTAAAGCTGACGTCTGGTTCTTAAAGGACCACACTGATGCTTAAAGACACTAAATCACAGAGTTTTGGACGAAGTGCATCGACCCTGGAAATCACAAAAATGCCAGAACGTGAAAAAAAAGGACCAACATGTAGAGGGCCTCAACTTCAACATTTAGCCGGTCTTTATTTGTTTTCAGCGACTCGTTTATGACTCCAGACTATAAAACCTTTTGTTATAATGTAATCCAATAAGAACAACATCACAACTACGGCCTGTTCATTTCTACTTTATGGTTTCAAAGCTTCTGGATTAAAAGGAATACTTGCATAAGAAATCAGCGTTTGACTGCCTCTTTCTAAACCACCGGTAGTGCACCCCTCACCTGTTCGTCGGAGACGGCCACCGTGCTCTTGAAGACGATCCACTCGATGGTCTCGCTGCAGGGCGGCGTGGTCAGCGAGCCGTTGTAGATGAAGTATTTCTCCGTGGAGTTCGGCAGGAGGCCTCGAGGGGCGAAGGGCAGAACCTTGGCTCTCTTTCCTGGACGGCAGACGGGACAGCTTGAATGAGCACAATAGAAGAGGAGAGAGAGAGAGAGAGAGAGAGAGAGAGAGAGAGAGAGAGAGAGA